AAAAGAAAATAAAATACAGAGAAAGAAAAGATAGATTTAAAAACAACACACCATGCACTCCGTTCTAAATGGGGCTGGACCTTATTTTGGGGTCAACAGCCCCAGGCCTGCCGGAATAGCCAGGTCTTAATAGCTTTTCGGAAGGCCATGAGAGTGGGTAGGGTCCGGATCTCTGGGGGTAGCTCATTTCATAGGGCCGGAGCGGCAACAGAGAAGGCCCTCCTCCGAGGCGCCGCCAGCCGACATTGTCTAGGTCCACCCTGTGCGATCTTATCGGTCTTTGGGAGGTGTGCGGCAGACCCCCTTGGACCCCTCCCTCCTGGGGGGTCAACGTACCTTAAAGGGACAGGCTGCAGCAGCTCTGCTGTGAACACAGGGAGAACTGTTTGGATGGTCTCTGCCACAGAATTCAATGTTAAATGCAGCTGAGACAATCCGAACGTTTCTCCCTCCGTTCACAGCAGAGGTGCTGCTGCTCCCTTCATGGTCCACCCCAGGCCCCTCCCTCCCGGGGAGGATCTTAAAGGGACAGGCTGCAGCAGCTCTGCTGTGAATGGAGGGAGAAACGTTCGGATTGGATGGGTGGGTCGAGTGGCCAAAAGGGCTGGGCGAGCAACTGGAAGAGGTGAGCAGAGACCGGGTGACCAGGCAGGGGTCAGCGGGACCACCAGGCATTTTTGCCACTGGTTCAATCCCCTGCCGATTCAGCCAAACCGGGCCGAACTGGGAGGATTTCACCCCTGGGACACGGACTTCATTGTACGATGTAAACCGTGAGGATGCATTTCAAAGCTGTGGAACGGATGCCCATCCGGACCTCCCCTGCTTTCTCCGACCTGCCTCCGGAGGCCTCCAAAGGAGCTGGGGATGGAGATGGGACTCTTACCGAGCACCGTAATGGTCATGTAGTACTCCTGCGGGGGGTCCGTGTAGAGCTGGCAGAAGTATCTTCCCTCATCCGAAATGGAGACGTTGGTCAGGGAGACTCTGAGCTCGCTGCTAGAGAAGTTCACTAGCTGAAACCTGCTGTCCTTCAAGGCTGCGGGAGGAAGAGACAAGGGGAATCGGGCCGAGAGCGCACGGAAGAAGCGCAGGGCTCCAAGGGCTTCGACTGGCAAAAGCATCTCTTCCCTCTCCCCTCCATCCTCTCGTTTTCTATTGTTCCGCTGCAATTGGGATTTAACCAGCAGGCTCTCTTGCCAATCAAGATAAACAAATGCCCCTTAACAAGTACTTGTAATTACTTCCTCCAGCTTATTTCCCCCCCTCCACTCACTCTGCTTGTTTAGCACACAAACAGGTTAGTAAATTGGCTGTCCAGGATGGGGTGGGGGGGTCCTTTGCTGGCTGGGCCACCTACAAACCGCAAGCGAGGCACAACAGCACTTGGACTCACAGGCTGCTCCGCAGTGCTTTCTCTGAGCGGTTTAGAGAGTCAGCGTGTTTCCCCCAACAACCTGGATCCTCATTTGACCCACCTCAGAAGGATGGGAGGCTGGCAGAACCATCAGAATCAAAACAGAGCTGGAGGAAGCGTGGAGGCCTTCTAGTCCAACCCCCTGCTCAAGCAGGAGACCCCATACCATTTGAGACCGGTGGCTGTCCAGCCTCTTCTTAAAAGCCTCCAGTGATGGGGCACCCACACCTTCCACTGGTTAATGGTTCTCGTTGTTAGGAAGTTTCTCCTCAATTCCAGGTTGCTTCTCTTTTTGGTTCGTTTCCAACCGTTGCTTCTTGTCTTGCCTTCTGTTGCCCTTAGTCCTTCTTTTCTGTAGACTAGCCATACCTTGAGCAGGTGTACCTTGAGCCATACTAAGAGCCGAGGTGGCGCAGTGGTTAGGGTGCAGTACTGCAGGCCACTTCAGCTGACTGCTATCTGCAGTTCGGCTGTTCAAATCTCACCGGTTCAAGGTTGACTCAGCCTTCCATCCTTCCAAGGTGGGTGAAATGAGGACCCGGATTGTTGTTGGGGGCAATATGCTGACTCTGTAAACCACTTAGAGAGGGCTGAAAGCCCTATGAAGCGGTATATAAGTCTAACTGCTACTGCTATTGGTCAGGATTGAGCTCCAGGCTGTGGGCAGAGTGAGCCTGCCGTGCTGCATTCTAACCACTGTGCCACCAAGAAGATGTGGCATTTAATCAATCAACCTCAGCAGAAGGACAAGGCTGCCAACTGCCCCAGAAGGCTGATCTGGGCAGCCAAAGGGGGTGGGGGGAGGGAAAGATCCCAGGCCTCCCAAACCCTTCCCCCAAACACAGAGATCAAAAAGGTTGGCCGCTGGCCTCAAACTCACGTCTGAAGTCTCTGAAATAAATAGTTTGCCTGTTGGGGTTCAAGAGCTGAATCACGGAGTCGTCGCTGTTTTTGACCCTGCAGCTGATGGTGGCCACCTCTCCCTCCACCACGGTTACGTCCTCTGTCACCAGGTTCTGCCCATCCCCTGAAGAGGCAGAAGAGAAAGAAAAGCGGGCATCAACCTTGGGAGGTGTGGCTTTCTTGCCCAGCCCCTCACGGGGAGCAGGGCTGGCTGGGGGGTCTTGGCTGGGCCAGGTGTTTGTGTCCCATGACTAAGGTTCAGCGCACGGTACCCACTTAGTCAACGGTGTGCAAAGGCAGAAGGTCATCACGGAGATTCCCAGGAAAGCGGCACATTAGCTGTGAATTGAAGGTTGGTGCATGAAGTCCTGAACTGAGGTCCTTGCTCAGAATATTTCATCTCAAGGAAGGTTTTTGCTGTTCAGGTGGACGGCACCTGCCTTACCTCTCTGCTGCTAATCCCCCCCCACTCCCCCTGCCCCTCTCCTCAAACAAAACCCGGAGAATTAGTGCGGCAAATGAGGCTCTTCGGTTAAGAACTGTCCACACTCAGGCTGAAAATGGCTGGCAGTACAGGCATAATTATGTAATTATATTCTTAAAAATTTATATCTCACATCACTCCCTGTGCAAACCCATTTCAAACAAACACCGGCGTGCAATCAATAAAAAAACACACACAGATTAAGCCCACATTCATTCGGAAGAAGAATGGGGGAGGGCGAGGGAGGGAAACAAGAAGAAAACCATTTAATGCAGATTGGAGGGGTGGGGGAGGGAGGGGTTAAAAGAGAAATGAAAAAACATATCACTCAGTGCTGGACAGTGTGTGTGTGTGTTGTTGTTGTTGTTGTTGTTGTGCGCCAGAGCAGAGCATCTGACTGTCCTGGATTTCCACAATTAAGCAGTGAGTTGGGCTGTGGCTTACAAACAACAATTCCAGCTGCACAGACCGAAGCCCTTTCAACCCCCATGCGGGAAGGCCCAGAGCCGTGATGGGGAGCCTATGGCATGCGTGTCACAGGAGGCACACGGAGCTATTTCTTAGGGCACGCGAGCGTGCTGGCCAGCTGATTTCGGCCTTCATTTTTGGCCGTTTTTCACCCTCCGGAGTCTTCCCTGAAGCCTCGGGAGGGCGAAAAACAACCCAACACGCAAACCGACTTCTGGTTTGTGCATTGGGCCCTTTTTCTCTTTCCTGAAGCTTCCAGAGGGAGAAAAATGGCCCCATGGGCAACCCAGAAGTTCGGGAACGGACTTTCAGTTGGCGGGTTGGGCTTTTTCCCACCCTCCAGAGGCTTCAGGGAAGAATACCCCAACAAGCACAAAGGAAGTTGAGATTTGTTTTATTTATATGCCGCCCTATTCCCAGAGGGACTCAGGGCGGCGAACAACTCAAGGGGGGAAAGGGAACACAAAGTACAATACAAACATTTAAAATAGCCAACAGCCACACAGCCACACAGGTCGAGAGGGGAAGGGAACTCATCAACCCCAGGCCTGCCGACACAGCCAGGTTTTAACAGCTTTTCGGAAGGCCTGCAGAGAGAGGTGAGGGTCCG